AAGAATGAAAGTAGACCATTACCTTACATCACACACAAAGATTAACTCAAAATGGATTAAAGACTTGAATGTAAGACCTGAAACCATAAAACTCCTAGAAGAAAATATAGGCAGTACACTCTTTGACATTGGTCTTAGCAGCATCTTTTCAAATGCCATGTCTGCTCAGGCAAGCAAAATAAAAGAAAAAATAAACAAGTGAGACTAGATCAGACTAAAAAGCTTCTGCAAGGCAAAGGAAACCATCAACAAAATGAAAAGACAACCCACCAACTGGGAGAAAATGTTTGCAAATCATATATCCAACAAGGGGTTAATTTCCAAAATCTATAAAGAACTCATATAACTCAACAACAAACAACCCAATCAAAAAATGGCAGAGGATATGAACAGGCATTTTTCCAAAGAAGATATACAGATGGCCAACAGACTCATGAAATGATGTTCAATATCACTAATTATTAGGGAAATGCAAATCAAAACAGCAATGAGATACCACCTTACACTGGTCAGAATGGCTATAATTACCAAGACAAAAAACAACAAATGTTTGAGAGGATGTGGAGAAAAGGGAACCCTTGTACGCTGCTGGTGGGAATGCAAACTGGTGCAGCCTCTATGGAAAACAGTATGGAGATTTCTCAAAAAATTAAAATTAGAAATACTATATGATCCAGCTATCCCACTACTGGATATTTATCCAAAGAATATGAAATCAACAATAAAAAAAGATATATGCACCCCTATGTTCATCACAGCATTATTCACAGTAGCCGAGATGTGGAAGCAACGCAAGTGCCCATCAGTGGATAAATGGATAAAGAAGCTGTGGTATACATATACGATGGAATATTACCCAGCCATAAAAAAAGACAAAATTGGGCTGGACTGGTGTGTAGTGGTTAAGTTCTCACACTCTGCTTTGGCAGCCCAGAGTTCGTGGGTTCAGATCCCCGGCACTGACCTACACACTGCTCATCAAGCCATGCTGTGGTAGAGTCCCACATACAAAATAGAGGAAGATTGGCACAGATGTTAGCTCGGGGACAATCTTCCTCACCAAAAAAAAAAAAAAAAAAGATAAAATTGTACCATTTGCAACAATATGGATGGGCCTTGAGGGTATTATGTTGAGTGAAATAAGTCAGACAGAACAAGACAAATACCATATGATTCCACTCATATGTGGAAGACAAACAAACACATGGGTAAGGAGAATAGATTAGTGGTTACCAGAGGAGAAGGGGATGAGGAGAGGGTGAAAGGGTGAAAGGGGCACATATGTATGGTGACAGATAAAAACTTGACTGTTGGTGGTGAACACGATGCAGTCTATACAGAAACTGAAGTATAGTGATGTACATCTGAAATCTACTGGCAATGTTGTAAGCCAATATGACCTCAATAAAATAAAATAAAGAGAGAGAGAGAAGCAGAAGGAGAATGCAAACATAGAAACAAAAAAACGAGCCCAGATCCAGGCTATTCCATTCCCCATGGAAGAGTTCAAATCTCAAGGGTGTCTCAAAGAAATATTCTGACCTTTTGGAATTCCTGGCAAAAAGGAATCCACATAAAAACTTTACTGCTGCCGGATTGTGTTTTATTCTTCCTATACTGTTAAAGACAGTCACATGGAGGAGTTCAATGTCACTGTCTTATTTAAACTCCCTTGTGCAATCTATTTGTGTTTAAAGAACAACACACTGGTTATGTACCCCATGGACCTACTAAATGAAAACAGGTGGTGCCAGCTATAGACCTGAAGACAAAGCATGTAAGAAATTGATGTGCTTTCAGAACAGAGTCAAATATACTGGATGATTAAAAATGATTTTAAAAAACCAGGAAAGGTGAGACGAATCTTGTTAGCTAGAAAAGAAAAGATTGAGTATCAGCCTAATTGTCTTATTCTTTTAGAGATCTGGTGTCAATTGATTTCATTTCCACTCAAGAAGAACTAAGAAAAATGTGGATTTAAGGAATGCTCCGGGAACTATATCAATTGTGAAAGTCAATATCCTACATTAGCACAAGAGAACACCTAAGGTTCCTTATAAATCAACAAAGATGCCACTCCTCAAGATTAAATGGTTTACTTTATCAAATCAAATATGCAAGACGGGATTGTGAAGTTTTAAATGCATATATTTCTCAAATTTATCTTTCTTCATTACCTATTTTGCATCAATCACAGCTCATGTTAGATATTTATGGTTATAGACCACTAGTTTTAGCAGATTCAAATAACATCTCATAAGAAGTGAGTTGCCAAAGTTTGGCTTAAAGTTATTCATGATGCACAATAGCTGATGTTTGGGCAAATAGGTCAAATATTGTTTCCGCAGGTTAATCGTGTTGGGATAGAATTATTTGGTCATGCTTGTCATTCCACTAATCCTTCTCTAGGAATAGCCAGAGAGGAGCAGAGAACAGAGACAAAGTGGCAAGAGAGAAACACAGAGCAAGAAGGAAAGTTGTAGAGACCGAGACGGGAAATGAAAAGATCAAGAGGAAGAGAGAGACAGTAAGAACAGAGAAATAGAGACAGTAAGAACAGAGAAATAGAGACAGTAAGAACAGAGAAATAGAGGCAGAGAAAGGGAGCGGCTCTCTTACCTAACTAATGGCATACCTCCCACACGGCACAGCTCTCCTTTTTTTTTTTTCTGTGAGATCTGTATATCCATACCAGAAAACCTCTTTTCCACTTGAGCTACTTTGAATGGCTAGACACCGTTTTGAGGGAAGAATTTTGACTAGAATAGTTATCCAGTGCTTTTCCATTTATTGCTTGGGGAAATTAATTGCCCAAGTCTTAAAAATATTAATTACTTAAGAGGATAATCATGTGGAATTTAAGATTATATATACACACAGACACATACTATATACCCACATATATATGCATATATATTTTTTAAATATTGTATATAATTAAATTAAATACTGTGAACATTATATATATTTACACAAACACACACACATGCATATATATTTTCCCCTCTAAGGAGTAGGAAATATTACTGTGAGAATCTCAGGCCTCCAGCTCACACCATAGTCATCATCTATTTGCAAGCTGAAAGACTTCAGTCCCTCAAAAAATGCTGAAGTGTTAACACTAACCACATCTGGCTTAACTTCTACCCCTATCTTTCTTATCCCAATAGCTCTCTGCCCCCTAAAAGCCTGAAACATATGAACCTAAGGATTAGAGTGACTGAAAAGGATTATGTATGAACAATTAATATGTATCATTCTTCTTAATGGTTTTGAAAACATGGAAATAGTTCTGCTTATTCTCAAGTTTCTTGATAATAGCAATAAATACCTGTGTCCAGGGTACTTAGCATTCTTAATGTATTAATTTAATTACTATTGATTGATTTGATTATAAGTTTAATTGTACTCTATCAGGTTGCTATTGGCCCCAAACCACTGTATAAGATAATAAATAAGTCAATTGATAAACATAAATATTTTTCTCTTAGTTGACCTCATGGAGTTTCTGGATCCAAGAAGCAAAATGAATTTATTCATTCACCCATTAAGTCAATAAACATTTATTGAACGCTGTATGTGCATCAGGTCAGGGTACTCCAGTTAGCACAAGAAATAAAAAGAGAATCGAAAATGTGTAAGATTGAGAAAGTTCCAAATTAAAGGCTTTGGTGTGCTGCCTCCAAATATAAGATATTTGTTCTATCACAGATAAGCAGAAGCTTACCCCACCAAAAACAAGACATAAAAAATGTTCATATACAATTCAACATGCATTCTTTGTTATCTACTCTGTGTCTATTAATCATGATGGTCCTGTGAGAAATATTTTTTAAATCCCTATTTTTGCAAAGTATCTAGCAAAGTTTCATATTCCATTCTTGTGGTGAAGATGGAGAACTATGAGTTGGAGATCTTACACTGAATTATATTTTTAGAGTGAACTATTCAACAAATATTTATTTTCCCCATACTGTGCACTTCTTATTGTGAAATTATCCAGATCAAGAAGACTAACTCCTGGCTGTCAATGAGTTTATAATCTATCATAGGAGGGAGACGTCTAGGATCAGAGGATAATGTAGCAAGTATTAAGTGGCATAAAAGATGTGCAGACAATGGCTCTGGAAGCTCAGAGGGGATATAAATCATTCTGGATGGTCAAGGAAGACTAGGCATTTCGTATTTAGATTTGCTTTTATAGGAAAGGGAGAATTTCAACAGGTAGAGATATGAATACAAAGTATTCCAGCCAAAGGAATTAATGTAGAAATCCTATATGGAGGGGAGAACACTTCAGTTTGACTGCAGACCAGCCATATAGTTATCATGGAGAATCTTAAATATTGGAAATTTGAACTTGATACTGTAGGCCTTGAGAATCAGTAAGGATTTTGGATTAGGGGACAGGCAAGTAGTGCTCAGGTGTATTGCTATTAGCTTGGAAAGGAGTTCTTGCTGGCACTTTTGTTATGTCTCAAATGAAGATATAACAGGCGTGCTGCCAGAAGAGGAAACTGAGGCTAAGGGAGATAACAACCCATGTCAAGTCACAAAAGCAAGTAAGAGCAGTTTGAACTAGGACATACTACCCAGCCCACGCCTCATGGTCCAATGATCTTTACACAGCTATATCTAATCCTTATCAAGCCGTTAGAGGCTAAGCTGGAAAAGGCAGTATCTCTATTTTACTGAGAAATATATTAAGAAGCACACAGGTCAAGCCACTCGATCTGGCTCACACTAGTAAGCAGGACAGATGGGAACACAACCCGCAATCCTGAGTCCTCAGGAAACCTTATTTTCACATTCTCCCACAGTGCAGTTGACTTTCTTCTGATGAGCTGGATAACCACACTCCCTTGGCACCCTTCCCTTGTTGAGACCACTTTGAAAACCTGAAGAAATGTCAACACTGGGGAAGAAGGACATGGGCAACACACAGGTGTATTTTGCCTCCGTCCCTCCCCTGACCTTTATAAAAGAAAACGTGAACTTACAGTTGTTCTGCAGGAGCTTGTCCAGGGACTCACGCCACTGCAGAACCTCATCCAGCGAGGGTCTAAATCAAGAATCAAGAAAGAAAAACATGATGGCCATGAGAAGGGAGTTAGCTACATCTACCAGCAATGACTTGGACCTGGAAATGATACAACCAATGACCCACCCATACTCAGGACAAGGGAGTTAGAATTGTTTTCTTTCTAACAGTTGGGTTTGATGAGCTGGATTTGCTTTCAGACATCTATATCACCTATCTTCATCTCTTTTGGAACAATTTCATTAGATCTGTCCCTTTTTAGAAGTAGAGTCTATTTGTCATGAAGCTATGTCTTGGTATTCTTGTATATTCCATGACAGTACCTCAGATTGTGGTCCTTTTTCCAAATGTAACTGAAGGAAATCCTGTTGTCCCACTCTAGGGATCAAACTCACGTTCTTTGACTCACCACTGCTGCGCTTGAACCACCTGATTTAATCAGCAAAGTGCGTTTGATTCCACATCCTCCTCCCAAGGCCATCTCGTTACAGCCGCTAGACGATGGTACGTGTGATGCTGCCTCATGTTGGGAATGTGATCATAGTAAGTCTACATTTTAAAAAATCTGAGTGCTTTTTTCTTGCCTAATTAGGATGGGCTAATATTTTTTTTAAAGATGTACTCTTCCTGAGAAGAAAAGTGGGTAGTAAATCATGAAGAGGAATGTTGTACACCAACCTTCTAAATGCCGACTCAAAAGGAGAAGGTAATAGCCAACATATAATGTCCCCGTAAACTGTTTTTATTTTAACATTTATTTATGTAGAAACCCTGCAGTTATTTCATTTTAACCACTAATTTTTCTCTCACAGCAGGATTATATCAAGTCGGGCTGGTGTTGTCTGGGAAAAAAGTGTCCCAGAGCTCACTTAGCTCTAATTCTTGCATTAGGATATGAGTTCTTCATTGTCAAATCAAGACAGACTAACAAGGCATTTATTAGAATATTAAGGCCAATGAAGGTGTTTTTCCTGAATGGTAATTTCTTCAGCTCTTAACTTGTTTTAGCTACCCTTCAGAAAATCCATGATAATTCCTGCTTCTGGTTTTTAAAAAAATAATATCTTGGGCTTTTAATTATTCAGATTAGCTGCTGAGGTTGATAAGATGATTGCTGCTTCTACGTTTCATTTTGCTGTCCAAGCTCAGATTCAGCCTCACTTTATTTACGTAAGGAGTCCAAGATGGCAGTAGATTTTCTGGCTAAAGTACTGTGAATAATTCTGTCACTTCCTTATGCCTCATTGCAGAACATGTACAGATTTGAAGTCTTAATTATATGATTTTTCATAAAGTTTTATGTTTTGACTGTTTGAAGGTCAAACATGCCAAAAATGAGAGTAACAAACCTGGTGAAATAATCTTCAGTGATTTCTTTTTTCCTGGCTGGAAACATAGGTATCATAGATTAAAAACTCAACCCTAATTCCTTGGAAATTTATTTTTAATAAGTGAACTACCTTGCCTCCCTCTCCTTTTTGTCTGGTTAGTAGAAAGTAGCATAGCAAGGAGAAATGACATGAAGAAGAAATTACAAGTATTTCCTTATATTTTTCTGGCTCATTTTATTTCCAACCAGAGAAGGATCTGTTTTCTAGGGGTCAGTAAATCCTTTTGGCTCTTCTATATTAGCTCATATTGAGGAATTTTCCTTTGCATATATTATTTGATAGCTACATTTTTAGCAAAAGGCCTTACGCATCTTAATTTCTTCACTACAGTGGGTGCAATGTTTTGCATGTAACAGACACCCACCAAGTCTCTATTGATTGTCGACATAAACAGCAGGACATCAAATGATTGGACAGAAGAAACTGGCTCGGCTCCAGGGGAAGGCCTGGTTCACTCACTGAATCTCATTCTGATTTTATAAATATTCTCATAAAATGAAATGACCTTCCCTCACCCCATTTCCTCTGCTTAGTGTAGAGGAACACAGGAAGAAGAAATGACAGGAGCAGGTGCACCAAACTTAAGCATGTTACCAGATCCAATTTGTCCCAAATGGTTTTGTTAGAACCAGACTAACGGTCAACAGCAGCAGCACATCACAACCAAGATTAAATTCCTGAAAAGGACATGTGCAGAGCCCACCTGCGGGTTAAATTAGTCCGAATTGATTCAAGGACACAGTCAAGCAGGACGCATCCCCCACAGCATGAAGCCCAGTGTTGTGATTACCAGCCTAGGAGGCAACACAGGTTCATCCTGTCCTGATTCTCAGAATGTGCCAGCCCTCATTAAGTCTGACTTCTTTGGAAACAAGATAGATGCAGATCTAAATGACCAATAAGTTTCCTGGTTTTCAAGGTCATACCTGACCACAGAGGGTAGGCATGGAGTCTCTGTGTGTGGGTGTGGGGGGAGAAGGAGGAAGCCAGCACAAATAAGAAGCAAGATAAACATTTATGGGGATGATTAACTGTGCTCTATAATGCCCAATGTAAATGCCACCTGGTCCAGGAAGTGACCATCTCGGCTGAAGCGCTCTGTCCCTTCACTGTACTCTTGCCACATTTAATCGTTGAACCTCTTACATGGCAACGATGCACTCACTGCCTAAAGGTATAGCTTGTTAGTCATGAAGAGCTTTTCCCATCACCCTGTCCTATGGCTCATCCCCTGCAGCATTAATCTACCCTGCAATAAATGTGTGCAATAAATTAATGCAAAAATTAATAATGATTAAATTTGCCCAGAGTTAGTCTGGGTTGATGAAAATCACAAATAACCCAAAACTTTAGAGTTCAGAAATTTTAGCACCATGAACCATTACTACAGCTATTGGCAACTCTGACACTTACTAGCTGTGACCACGGGGAAGTATTTTAACCTCTCTAAGCACCCGTGGTTTTCTTTCCTTTCTTTTTTTTAATCTACACAGTCCCTGGCACATATTTAAACACTCTTCACATGATCTTGCTCTCACCAAGGAAAGTGAAATTCAAGTTATTTATTGGCATTTGTAGTGCCTGCTCTGCTCTCTCTTCCTTCCCTGCACTACAGTCCACTCACAACCAGTCTTAAGTCCATGAACATTTATTGAGCCCTTACCCCACTGCCAACAGTGACCTGAGCACCATGGATGGGGATGCAGAGAAAAACCTGCTACTTTTTGATGTCTACCTGTGGGCCAAACATGGTACATACATCTTTAATCCTCACAACAACCCTCACTCTGCAGTTTACCAGGCCAGAGTATGTGTACTTTATACTTTGTAACTGTTCATTGTTTACAGGTTAGGTACTGTTTATATGTAAGAGGTCATTCTAGGGTTATAAAGTGGTAAAAACAACAACAACGAAAATGTAGTTAAAAATTATTGACACCAGGGGGCTGGCCTGCTGGTGTAGTGGTTAAGTTCAGCACGCTCAGCTTTGGTTCGTGGGTTCGGTTCCTGGGCACAGACATACACCACTCATCAGCCGCCATGCTGTGGCAGCAACCCACATACAAAATAGAGGAAGACTGCCACAGATATTAGCTCAGGGCCAATCTTCCTCAAGCAAAAAGAGGAGGATTGGCAACAGATGTTAGCCCAGGGCCAGTCTTCTTCACCAGAAAAAAAAAAAGGAAAATTATTGACATAGGGCGAAAAGGGACATCTAGGTTATAAAATAAACTATAAGAATATCTATATCAGCTCCTGAGCATTTTGCAATTGATTATATTATAAGCCATGATAAGAGTTATCACAAACTAAATTTATGTGGTTTACTAATATGTTTATTGCTTATTATGAGGACCTACAGCAGAACCTTACATACAGAGGCTGGGAAAAAGTGGGAGCCCTTGGAGAGAGAGAAGCAGGAGGAGAATACAAAGTTAGGAGATAAGGAAGAGAGTTTTAAGGAGGCCAACGGGTGAGCAGAGTCAAATGCTGCTGACAAGTCAAGGGTGAGGCCTCAGTGCTGACAGTTTCACAGAGGTTGGAAGATTTAAACCTGACAGGAAGGAGTTAAGGAAGAAACTAGCAGTGGCTTTCCATTTCTAGAGTTATCCAAGGAAAGCAAGAGAAAGGGGTGGGAGTCGATGGCGTGAGGGGCTGAGAGAGTATTTTCAGAGTGGAGCACGGGTACTTGTTTGTTCCTGGTGGAAGAGGGTCCAGAGGGAAAAAGAGCAGTGAAGAATACTAAAATGGTAACGCAAGCTGGCTTTGCACAGTAGCGATACAGGCAACTTTTTTGGATTTTTTTCGATGGTTAGATTTTTTTTTTTTCCTAATGAGAAGAACAAAAATATATTAAAAAATAGGAAATGCTTTTTTAAAAAAGGGATTGCTTTTTTTAAAAGATGAGAGGGATTAAAAATACCTTCAGTCCAGGGAAGGTTTATTTATTTTCTTCTCTGAGAGAAGAACATGGGTAAAAAATACAGAGAAATTTTAAAGTGGGGAGAAGAGAGATTGATCGAGCCCTTGCAGAACAGTCTTTTCCTGTTAGTTACAAGGCACAGAAATTTGCCAAACGTGAGGAGGTGGAATGGGGTTAGGGGTTTGGAAGAGGGTGGGAAAGCTTTGTAGTGGTCACTGTTAAAAATGCAGTAGAGACGCACAAATATTCTCTAGGGATACAAAGGATTTTTTCCAAAACAATTCAAACTTCTGGAATAAGAAAGAGGATGGAAGACAATAGAAGAAAATAATCCAATAAATGTCAGCCCCAGGATTTCTTCCAAAATTGCTTCTCTCTGAATCCCTGTTAAGCCAAAATAGTTCAAGTGTCTGTGTGGGATATTAAAGCAGAGAATCAAAGCAGGAAATATAGTACTATATTTATTTTTTAAAGTTAATTCCAACAGATCAATAACCACCACATTGTTTACTTCAAAATAGACTGTTTGATCTGTTGCTGCTGTAAAATGTGGTTCTTATTTCCACTAGTGCCTGGTGCCTGCCACTCCACATTGCATTAACTTCCCCTTTCTAAATGCAGAAAACTCAATTATGCCTCGCTTCCGGTTTGGGATCACTTTGAAGTAATAAAAGGAGGAGAATGAAAATATCCACTTAGGCTGTTGGAAAAAGATTAAAAAAGAATAACCCATCTCTCTATCTCCTAACCAATCTAGCTATATTAAGTTGAAGGTCATTTGGACAAAGAAAAGATTGGCCAATTTATACGAATGTTAAATTTAAAAAGAAATGGAGGTTAAAAGGGATTCCCGTATTTTTACCACATTTCTGTGATCTCCTCAAAGCTTTTAGATGGTAGAGTGCACGAGTTTGAATACTTTTGGCTTTTCTTCGTCCCACTTCCCTTTCTTGATTTTTATGGGTATCTCTATTTTAAAAGGAAAATGGAGTGTATTTGTCTAGGCAATGACAGGCTATGTAGCTAGGGGAACAATGAGAATGCCGTGAGTAGTGTTATTAAGTTAAAGTAGAGCCAATTATGAGCTGGATTCGCAGCCATAACATCTCGAATCTTTAGAATTGTAGTTTCCCTCCATGCCTAAATTGACAGAAGTGTGTTGGGGGAGGTAGGGGAAAAGGGAGGGAGGACTGTAGAAGTCCAGTCAGGAATATTAATTCATGGATTGGGGGAAAAATTACTTGATGTGCCTTAAATAGGAAATAGCTGGTCGAGTACTCATTCCTCCATTGAGGGAGTCTTCTGTTCCTCTGTTGGACCTTGAAGGGACAATATCTTGGAGAAGAAACTATTAGACTTAAATTGTCTGCCTTGATCTTAGCATCTTCCTGAGGGAAATGTTCTTACTTGTAGCTCCCTGCTGAGGAAGCAGCCTTGGATAGTTCCTTAGTAGATGAGCGTCCAGTGATGGTAATTAATTGGATCAGGAACAGTTACCTGACCCCTGACCCCAGGGCAGCAAGTGAACGGATACTTTTTACCACACTTCTGTGTGGTAAATAACTGATGAGGTGGCTGGTGCTATGTTATAAAGTGTGATCTGTCTCTCCAACAAGGTCCCAAGGCAGGGCCTTGTCTGCCAGTATACGATATGCTCCAGACATAGGAGAGTCAACAACAAAAAAAGCTTATTTACAAACCAACTCTCTAAGGGCTCTTATGATCCTCAATGGGTAATTGAAGGGGGGAGTTCTACAGATGAGGGATGGTGCTACACACTTGAAAAATAGGCATCGTCTAGAGGAAAAGGAGAGGAATCCATATTCGCGACTCACTTCTGGGTCTTGGCTGGTTTCTCCGGCTTCTCATTATATGGAATGACAAGGTCAATAGCCGAGTCTGGCTTCTGGAGAAGAATTCCCAACTTGATCTTAATCTCCTTGGCCCTGAAAGAAGAGATGTAAAGGGAAATGGAAACACCACATGAGCATACAAATCTAAAAAAGAGATTTCTTTCTGTGTCAGAGAAACAAAAATGAACAAAACCCCATTTCACTGTTGTGGCAGAAAGAATACTAATGTAGAAATTGCGACACGTGAATTCTAACAAACATTTATTAAGCTTTTGTTATGTCCCTGGTTAACGTGCATTATATCATTTTAATCTTAATTATTGTTTTATATGTATTCTTTCATTTTATATATGGCAGATACTATAGTATTATTCTCATTTTACAAATGAAGACACTGAATGACAGAGAGTTTAAATAACTTACTTAAGATAACCCTGCCAGTGCATGGTGGAGATGGGACTTCTGACTCTAGAATTCACAGAAGGAACTACTTACTGCATTGCCTACCAGTCTTCTGAGGTCTCTGATCCCAGTTCCGCCAGTAATTAGATGTATAACATTTGAAAAAATAATCATTTTTTCCCACCAGAGCTCAGTTCCCTTATCTGTAAAATGACAGAGTTAACCTAGATGTTTTCTTCAGCCATTTTCAGCTATAAAACTAAATTATTCTGCTTGATGATTTTCTTCTCTATAAAGCATTCTTCATTTATATGGATCTGATTTTTCTCCCAATCCCTCGCCCATCGTTCCATCATAGCTATTGGAGTATGTTACATGCAGCGAGCCTTCGATAGATGAGTATTAATTGCCAATGGAATGACTATAGTGGTATTATACTACTCCTTTCTACCTTCAACATTTTATTGAGTAGATGTGGGCAGAATTCTGAGCCCTCTTCCATCATAGGATGCAGCCGTTTTCATGCCCAGTTTCAAAACTAACCTTCTAAGTTACCCATTATTTCATCATGAGTCTGAATTCAAAAAGCACCAAGCAAATCTTAAACGTTAGTCCATACGACAAGCCATTGTATACTGGGAGACCCAAAAAGCTATCCTTTCACTGTCACCTTGGCACTTTACACATGCTTTTAAGATAGAGTTTATCATATTGCATTATGGTTATTGATTTATGTGTCTGTTTTCCAAGCTGGGTATGAGAACTCTTTGAAGGTGGAAATTGAGTCTTAAATACCTTTTACCTCCTGTACATAGCACAATGCTTGGCAACGTAGTCAACATTCAAAAATATTTGCCAAAGTGAACTAAAAATATCTTGATTTTATTCCTCACAAATCTGCTAACATTTATCTCCCAGTCAATGTGGATCATAACCAAAGACTTAAAGAGTGGTGATGGGTCTCATATTGTGGCCAGAAAGGGTTTTGCTACTATAAACACACTTTCGTCAGCCATTCACATGGAGACAGTGATGAGATAATTTAAATAAAATGCGTAAGATTAGCAATTATGGATATTAGGGAGAAAAAGGTAAGGAAATGTACTGTATAACTTACAAAAAAAACTATAATTATTGAATCATATCATAGTTTCCTCTAGTATCATAAATATGATTTTGAGGCAAAGATTTAGAATTAGTCACCTCTACAATGTCTTTCCTTTTCATTTCTTTCTGCTTCCATTCTTTCCCTAGGACCCTCTGCCGGAAGCCAACTAGAGTCCCACTACAGCAGATCAGGCTCAGCCCAGCACAGCATATGGCTGAAATGGGAATGTTCTGCTGAGGGAGCTTATATAAAACATGAGAATAAGAATAAGTGTCATTTTGATTCTAAGCTCTGCAACTTGCTTAAATTATCTATTTTTTTCCCCTAGAAATTGGGACTAATAAAATAGAACATCCTCATAGAATTTTTTGTAATGATTAAATATGCTAATGCATGTGAATCACTTAGCACAGCATTTGGCATATAATCCTGCCTCTTCATTTAGTTCTAACTGCGTAATCATTTTTCCAACCAAACTCAACCCATGTTCTCTAGCTTCAGGTGCCAAATTAAAACATCCAGAAAATTTCCCACAAGTTACTAAGAATTACTACACCCACTGCCTTGCATATTCTTTCTCTGGAGACAAGAATCGCCAATTTTATATTTATCTGAAATATGAAGAAAATAATATAGGGGGGTGTGCATCCAATATTTGTGGCCACCCTCTGCTGGCTAGTGTATAGTACTACAGCCAGAAATGGACAGCAGGTCCATTTTGGGGGTCAGGTCACACCCAGCTCTTGAAGAACTTCATCTATGATACCTCTCCTTCTGGCTCCATATGGCCCTGACTTCCAGCCCATAAGGGGAAGGCACGCAGCATTTTTTTTCAGTTGCAATCTTGCCCCAATAGTTCACTCACTGTTATTTAGATAAAGATTATCTAATAAACAGTTCTCATATTCTTGGTTTTTTATTTGTTTGGTTCTTGAGGTTTTTGTTTTGCTTTTTTTCCCCTGCCAACTTCTGTCTCTTTTTAATTTCTCTCTTTTGCTCCATCTGAGCCATTTGTCTTTGTAAAAGGCAGAGAGATATTTGTGTGTGATTGCCTGGTGAAAGAATAAGTTGGACATGAAGGGGTAATCAGAACCAACGAGTTGAGTATTTTTAAACTTTGTTTATTCATGACGAATTTACTCATTGATCATGTTTACTGTGTCAGCAGTACACAGTGAACATACAAACTCTCACAGGGTTTGGTCCTTGCCTTCAAGGTGCTTATAGCCTATGGAGGTCTCAAACTTGTAAACAGTCACAAGGAGCTATTCAAGGAGAGGATGTCCAGACAGCAGCAGAGCACCGGCGGAGGACACAACGTCCACGAGGGCGAGTCAGGGGGCTTTCTCAGAAGAGGCAGCAGTTCGCGAGAAAGATGAGAAAAGGATGGGCCTTCCAGGCAGGAAGAGGGGAATGTGCATATTGTTCGAAGAGATGCAAAAGTGGCTCTGTATTTCTCGAGTGTGAAGTGTGATTAGGGAGAGGAGAAAGCCATGTTAAACAAAGCCTGCTCGCTCTGCCTCCCCTTCCTGATGAAGGCATGGATGACGGAGGAGCCTCTATACAGTACCCAGCCCACAGCAAATTTGGTATGAAAACAAAAAAGAGGTAAAACTGTTGAAAGGTGCCTTCAAAGACTGTCTCTATAGAAAGAGATGGCATCTTATTTTATAAACTCAATCTGTTTCAAAATTTTCTTTTGCTAACTCTTTCAGGATGCATTTTCCCTAAAAAAACTATCTATAAATGGTTAAATTCTCAAGACATCCCACAAAAGCCTTTTAAAACCAGAATGAATCAGAACCCTTGTACAATTTTATCTATATCACTGCTTAAATAGGTTTTTTTGTCAGATGATCTAGAAATCAACTGCCATTTATAACGTTGCCTATAGAAAATCATATTCCATTTCCCCAGAGTAGACAAACATACCAGAACATCTGATTACTATTTTCCTCATTTTTGCCTTCAGGATGTAATGGAGAAAGGAAATGCTGTGCTTTGGAAAACACTTCTTTCTGACTTCAATTCCTGGCTCAATTATAGGACATTAAAACATTAGGGTATAGAAATTTCTAAGTCCATTTGGTTTAATTAGGAGTTTGAGACAATACAGAGAAGGAATAATATTGCAACTCTTCTTATAAAACGGAAAAGTTTCAAGGCTGGAGAGTGAACAGATGCTGAAGTGGAAACCACTTGAAACATTTTACTCTTTCTACAAGGATAAACAGTGTTACTACATTTGTTTTTCTCCTCAAGAGTTCCTGGAATACTGTTTCCTTCCCTCTTTCTTTTTCCTCCCCACCATAGCCACACATACAAATATGGAAATGAAACAAACCAAATGGAAAATCAAACAAAACAAAAGCTCAAACCTACCATTTTATTTTCTCCATTCAAAATAAACTTGAATGTATCAATGTCAAAAACAACCCCACCCAGAGAAGAAAACTTTCTGATGTGTTTACAATTTCAACTCAGTCTCTTGCTCTTCTTGACCTCCTCCTAGTCATTTTTCCTGACTACATCACATTAATGCTTGTTAACAAGAAGCAGTTTTATCTTCTCTCATGTCACCTCCCACCTTGTTATTCTGTTTTACAAAGAAAAACTTGTTTTGAAATAAAATCAATTGGAAATGCCTGGGTGAATTTTAATTAAAGGTTCAGAGGAAGATAATTCTTTCTCTAGGTGACTCACATTAGTGATTTTGAACTGAAAAGGGTTTGAATAATTGTAGGGTTGTGCAGTTTTCAATCTGTGCCCTGTGTGGGTATGCTGGCCGGGAAATCAAATTTCAAAAGGACTGGGGCCACCTCCATCCTTCCTGTTAATGAGTGAATTGAGTGAAAGTTATTACCTTAAGGTGCATAAGTGTGGAAAATAGTACAAGCAATCACTTAAACAGAAATATGGCTGAATTTTTAAAAATACACTTATATGCAAGTAAAATTGATCAAAAAGCAACTGTAGATGGTCCCCAAGTCACGATGGTTCGACTTACAATTTTTAAACTTTACGACAGTGCGAAAGCAATACGCATTTGGTAGAAACCATACTTCAAATTTTAAATTTGGATCTTTTCCTGGGCTAGTGATATGCAGCATGATCCTCTCTTGTGATGCTGGGCAGCCTCAGGGAGCCACGGCTCGCAGTCCGCCACGCGATCATGAGGGTGAACAACCGATACACTTACAACCCTTCTATACCCATCCAACGATTCCGTTTTTCACATTTAGTACAATATTCAATAAATTAAATGAGATATTCAAAACTTCATTATAAAATAGGCTTTGGATTAGATGATTTTTCCCAACTGTAGGGCAAGTAAGCATTCTGAGCACGTTTAAGTTAGGCTGGGTTCGGCTATGATGTTTGGTAGGGAAGGTGTATTAAATGCATTTTTGACTTACGATATTTTCAACTTAGGATAGGTTTATTGGGACGTAACTCCAGCTTAAGCTGGGGAAGATCTGTATATATAATGTCTTGTGCCACGTTTCAAGGGTTACAAAGATGTTCCTCGCCTCAGAGACACTTGAAACAACTGAATATAGGACATGAACACGTAAACTATATG